TTTAGAAAATCCCTCTACAAAACGACGGTAATAAGCTGCTAAGCCAAAAAAACTTCGAATTTCTGTCACATTAGTAGGCCTTTCCCATTTTACCACTACCTCTATTTTCTGCTGCTCAACATAAATTTTTTCTGCTGATATGACATGTCCCAAAAATACAATTTTATCAAGCCAGAATTCACATTTACTGAATTTAGCATACAACTGTTCATCGCGTAGAGTCTACAAGATGATTCTGAAATGCTCTGTGTACTCATCATGAGAGTGTACTAAAATATTATCGATGAAAACAATCACAAATCTATTTAAATATGGGCAAAATACTCTATTTATCATATCTATAAATGCTGCTGGTGTGTTGGTCAACCCAAATGGCATCACAAGAAATTCAAAAAGACCATACCTTGTCCGAAAAGCAGTCTTTAGCACATCAATGTCCCTGATTTTAAGTTGATGATATCCAGAACGCAAATCAATCTTTGAAAATACTACAGCGCCGCGAAGCTGATCAAATAGATCATCAATACGTGGCAAAAGATATTTATTGCAAATTGTCACTTTGTTCAATTGTCTGTAATCTATGCACAGTCGTATGGTGCCATCTTCCTTCTTCACAAACAGAACTGGTGCTCCCCACGAAGATAGATTAGGTCTGATGAAACCATTGTCTACCAACTCTTGCAACTGAACTTTTAGCTCTTTCAATTTTGCCGGTGCCATTCCATAGGGTGCCCGTGAGATAGGTACAGTTCCTGGAATCAGATCTATAGTGAATTCCACATCCCTATCTGATGGTAAGCCTGGTAATTCTTCTGGAAATACATCAGGAAAGTCCTTGACCATTGGGATGTCTTCAAGTTTTAATGTGCTAGCACTCGTATCAATCACATGAGCTAAATATGCATGGCAGCCCTTGTTGAGTAATCTTCTAACGTCAATAGCAGATATCACACAAGAAGGTAAAATTTTGTGCATTCCATTGAATATAATTTTAGGTTGTCCTGGATGTCTAAACACAACTTCCTTTCGAAAGCAATCAACTGAAGCTCGATTTGTTGCCAGAAAGTCCATACCCAAGATAACATCGAAATCATGTATGTCAAGAGGTATTAAATTTGCCTTTAGCTCGTTCTTATTTACCTTAATTCCACAATCTCGATATATATTGTTTGCTAATAGTGATTTTCCTACTGATGTATTAACTACCAAACAACTGCCTAGAGGTTCTGACCTTTAATTTGCATATAAAGTAAATGCAAATGACATAAAAGAATGTGTAGATCTAGGATCAATCAAAATACGAGCATTTTTATCAAAAATAGACAACATACCCATAATAACATCTGGTGACTCCTCTGTTGCTTGCTGAGTCATAGCAAAAATCTTTTCCTGGGTCTTCGATCGTCCTGCCTGCCCTTTTAATTTTGTACCACTACCACTTACGATATTAGATTGGGTCACACTGTTTGCACCTGCTCTATTAGCTGAATCATCTCTCTAAGTTTGATTCTGTCTTGTAGTACCAGCACTCTGCTGAGGAAACATCCTCTGTGCCATGTCACCCTCTTAGAATACAACTGGGCAATTCCTTTTCAGGTGTCCTTCTTGGCCACAGCGATAGCAAACACCAACTCCTTTGAACTTTAAGCACTCTCCAGGATGAGATCTTCGACATAACTGGCAAGAAGAAAATCTGGCACTAGTAGAACTCTCTCCCTGTCTTGGAGTAAATGATCTCCGGGAAGAACCCTGAGTATAATTACGACTGGCCAATGGCTACTGTACAATACTGAGACTGAATCTAGGACCCTGACTTCCTTAGAATTGAGATTTGAATTGACCTGAACTGGATACACAGGGTCAAAATCCTCTACTATCCCTCCGTGATGGTCTATAGCTAGAAGTACTTGCCATTGTCTGACTACTGCTTGCTCTGAATATTGTTTGTTCTCTACCACTTGGCCTATCAGAAATGCTCTTTTCTACTCTCAAAGCTGATTCCACCAATTTGCCAAATACATTCTATCCTACAGCTGTTACTACTGACCGAATTTCTTCCCTTAACCTATTTTCAAATCGTCTGTGTTTATCAATTTCGTTGCCTACCAAAACTTGGGTATACTTTGAAAGTTCAATAAATTTTACTTGATATTCTGCAGCTGTCATCTGCCCTTGTACTAGCTTCAAAAATTCCTTCTGTCTTGCATCTTTATAGGACCGAGGGTAATAGGCATCGTAAAAGATACGACGAAAATTTATCCAAGTAATGATGGAAGGGTCTAGATATGTACTCTGTACCGACTGCCACCAATCATATGCACCCTCTTATAATAAAAAAGTGGCAAGACACAACTTTTGATCTTCTAAGCAACCCATAACATCAAATACCCTCTCTATCTTGGTCATCCACACCTGCGCAACTGTAGGATCGATTGTGCCAGTGAAAACTTTAGCCCCTAACTTTGTAGCCCTTTCAATACTAAAATCTCTGTCAGTACTACGCATAGTCGAGGCAACAGCAATAGTAATTCTTTCAACAGTTATAGGATCAGTTCCAACCATATTTCCCTGTCCTCGTTGTTCAGGAGGTTGGTGAACTGATTCTTCTACCCTCTCGGGCTCTCTTAGTTCATCTCTATCAGGAGCAATGTGAGACTGGAGCAACATATCTTGGAGCCTTCGAGTTCTACCATCACGAGGCTTGACTCACCTACAGTTATATATAATATGCTAAACATTAGAACGTATGTATGTACAATGCAAACCTATGGACCCTAATGCATGCTCTGATATCAAACTGACACACCCCGCCCCGTGTAACACTACTGGATCTAGACGTGGCATGCACCAATGATAGATACCAACTAAAAGTCGGACCCACCATCAAAGCTACTACAAGTACAATAGATCATTTTTTATACATCATTTTTCTAACAGAATTTTAGCATTATTTTCCCTGTAAACAGGACTAACCAACATGTGATCAATTTCACACAAATCTCAAACTATAACACAACACACTAAAGATAAGTTGAAACCTCAACCTTTACCAAGAAATAAAATAAAATGTACGTATGGATACAAAATACATAATAAGCCCCATAACTATCTACAAGTGATGCAAAATCATATCTAGACATAAACATACGTCTCAAAACACTGACTACATATTCTATAAAGTGAGTCATACTAATAAACTCTGTCGTGTGGCTCTGACTCCAAAATCAAGGCTCAACTCCAAAAGATATCCAGATTCTCAACTACTGCCTGATAAGTAAAAACGTGAAAAAATATATGAGTTGATAGCTCAGTAAGTGGAAAAGTTCAAAACAAATATACTTTTTCATTTATACATTTTTATTGAAAATCAAATTCATATCATTTTATAATTCACAAGCTACTATCATGTAATTATAGAAAAAAGTGAAATATTCACATAATTTCATAAAATATCATCTTAAAATCATGATATGAATATCAGCTGATAACCATGTAATAATCTTATCACATCAAACGTGCTGAAAAATTCACCAAAAATGTACCCTCTAACTGAAATATATAATCCGCCCCTCGAGCTAAGAACTTTCGCTACAGGCCTTTGGCCCCTTCCGTGAACGAAAGCCGATCTCAAAGACCTCTCATAATCAATTCTAAAACACGACCAAAGCCCCTCTGTGAACTATATGTATACGATCAAGACCAATGTCAGGTCAAGACTCTCTGTGTAGGATAGAACACGGTCAAAGCCCCGCTGTGAACTAGAAGAAGTATATAATCATTGGTACTTTTCTGGCCGATTTCAATATTACATGTCTCACATACCAAACAACTCTCAATATCACATGTCTTACATACCAAGTCACAAATGTACCATAAATAATATTCGAGATTTCACATGTGTCATAATAAATGAGATTTCCATAATAATCATTTAATTGGACACATAATTTCACATACTTTGATAATATACGCAACTCATAAATACTTTAAAAATATTAATATTTTTCCACTCACAGAACTATATACGCTAAAATCAACTCGGTCGGTAAACTGTCCCAATGTCTATATCGCCGCATAAAATATAATATAATTTTTAAATCAACAATTAATATTTTAAGTAATTTCAATAATTAAATAGGCAATACCAAAACTTAATTATTTCACGTTTAGACGATTTCTAAAGTCTCTTTTATTACTAAAACTAATTTTTCTTTCATTTTACTCAATTTCATAGTTTATTATACTTAACCATTTCAATAAAATTTAATTTAATCTAACAATTTAACAACTACAAAATTAAACATAACATTTCAATAAGTAAATTTTTACTTACCTTTCAAAATTGAGGAATTTAAGTCTAATAGAATAACCTACTTAATTCCTCACACGTTGGCGAATTTTCTTTTTTTTCTTTTTTTCTTCCTCTTTTTCGTTTTTTCTTTCTCTTTTCTCTCTTCTTCTTTCTCTTTGGCTCATTTTCTTTGTGTGAGTAGTGTGTGTGTTTTTAAATTGGTTTTGGATAGATTTATAATGAATTAGTTTGAGTTTCACCACCTACCATTTTTCTTTTTGTCTTTTGTCCTTTTTTTTGTTTGACTTTTCTTTCCATTAATTTAAGATATTACAACGTGCTTGTTATTGATTGTATGTTCTAGTCGAACGATATCTAGAAAAATTTTATATGTTGATTGAATGATTGGATTATTTTAAACTGTGAACCAATTAATTGTGGTCAATCTTTGATGTAATTTATTATTTCGATTATGTAACAAAATAGGTGGATTACGACTCCATCATCTTGATTTAATTTTCTGTACAATTAGATTCAAAATTTGTGACTCTACGGGACATAGAAATTTATGTAATTCTTGTAATTTTTGGATCTTGTAAGTTGATTAGAAATTGAATAAGAAGACTTGAAGACCAAGGGCAAATAATTCAAAGATTTGTATTTTAAAAAAAAAATTATGACAGTTTGACTGCTACGCGGCAGACAGCAGTGGCGAATCTAGGGACGGAGGTCAGCTAGGGCGGATATTGACTGACAATGACCGTTGACCATTGACCGTTAACAATCAACAATTGTAATAGCAATGTCGTTTATTAATATCTAATTAAAATCTGGATAGAAAAGAAAATGTCAAGAAAAATGCATCAGGCAACCAGATGAGTAGCTAGCAAATACGAACGTTGTGCAAAGGCATAGCAAAAGAAACCGGCAGCCAACCACCAGAGCACTAGAAGCCTTTGCAAATGGATACATCACCGTGAACTTGAGACAGAAAAGAAAGAGTCGTCAAGCAACCAGAGGTGCAGCAATAGAGTAGGAATCTGATATCTTTGTATTTGCCTTTTGCGATCAAGTTAATAGAAATTATGCTACTTTGTATACTTTAATTAACAAATCAGCATCAATATTGTAAGTTCTTCAAGCATTATTTGTAAGACACCATTCAAAAGTTATGGTTAAAAAGTCACTGTTCATTTTATCGTTCATCATCAATATTTACTAATTTTTTGGGTATAAAATCCTTAATCCTAAACATCTTCAACACTTTGGGATGGCATCTTCTTTTACTTCAATATCATCCAAAGTCTCCAAGAATTTCTTATAATTTTCTCCAGGGATTTTGTTGTATAATGTCGTTGAATTCCCCCTCTATGAAATTATAATATTTGGTTTGGAATCCCCTATGTTTGACCTAATTCAAAACCAGTTAACGATTTCACCATCATCTTTGATTAAGAAATCAAATTTCAGTGAAGTACACAATCTTAACCTTATGTTAATAACAAAAAAATTCCGATCTTGTATTTCTGTGAAGTACACAATATTAGCCATTGTCAGTATTTTGAGTAGGACTTCAAGAATTTGCAGTTGTGGCTACTATTAGGAGGCTGCAGTCGGATTCAAGAGAGATTCAGTCTTCTGTGAGAGAGATGATGAATTTGGATGGTGATGGAGAATGGAATGAGATGAGGATGGAAAATCAGGGTTTAGTTGAGAGATTTGAGGGATTAATATAAGTTAATTGGGGGTGATTGGATGTAAGATTTATGAATTTTTTATTGTTTTGATAGATAAATTGTGAGCGTTGGATCGATTTAATTAAAGGCCCCGGATTATTTGTCAAAAACGTTTGTCAAATTCACGTGTCTAAGGAACGGCCCCAAAACATAAATTACTTATCATAAATCACAATCAAACAAATAGGACATACAAGATTGATAACATTATCCACGTACATACAACTAGCCTACAACATTCTCTAAGAAAAGGGGAAAAAAAGGGGGAACAATGATGCAACAAAACGCACTCTGAAATTTAATAGACCAAATGCATATTAATACAGATATGCGAAAATCCTGCAAAATAAATAAATTAATAATAATAATAATAATAATAATAACAGCAACCTAGTAGAGCCCATAATTTAGGAAAGTAGGAAGAACAAATGAAAAACAGAAAAATCTTCAAGAGTCAGCGTTGAAAAAAAAAAAATCTAAAGGAACCTGAGCGAGGAGTGAGGACTCTAGTCCAGAGTCCTTTAAACTTTCTCCATGAATTGGTTCCCAACTTCTCTTTGAAATGCATCATTAAGAAGGCTCCCCAGTAATCAACACTCGATAGTCATCTTCAAACCCCTGAAACGAAATTTACTTTGCTATATCATTGACAAAACACAGGACAAAAACCAAAAACAAAAATTTAACGAAAAAAAAACGAAAAACAAAAAAAACAGAGAGAGAGAGAGAGAAGGGGATCACAGATTCACACTCTGAGACTCTAAGACCGGAGATTGGAAGGTCGACGACGAGTCGTCTCGTCGCCCAACACCTCTCGCCACCCGTCAGGTGTCAACACTCAGCAGCAACAACTCCACTTCGATCAAAATATATGGATTGGATTTGGACCTAATGTTTATAAATAAGGAGGCCCATCAATCACTGGTCACCCCAAATAAAAAGGCCCAAACTGGAAAAAAAAAAAAAAAAAAAAAAAAGTAACCCAGATGGAATTCATTCATCTTCCTCGGCTTCTTTCTCTGCAATTGCAACTTCTGGTTCTGGTGCCCGGCGGTAGTGAACATTCCGGCGGATCCAGCTAGGGCGGCCGCCATAGCTCGCCAGTACCTGGATCCGCCCCTGGCAGACAGATGATTGTCTATGATAGTAGACAGATTACTGTCTGCACGTGCAAACAGATTTATCTATAAATTATTTTTTTCAAAAAAAATGGATTTTTGAAAATAATTATAGGTGTAGTAGCTGAAACTTCCTTGTTATTTTTGGAGAAGCTACTGTAGGATGCTTGAAGATTTTGGGCTGGAGATTTAGATTAAATTTTTGGCATTGGTCCAATTTTTTTCTTGAGTTTATTATTTTTTATTGCTTTTTGAATACTTTAAACTATTGTTTAAAATATTGTCATTCTTGATATTATGACATATAGATTTATTTATGACATCGCTCATGCTACTATGAATAGGATACATAGCATTAAACACAGATTTTTCTTTGAATTAAATTTTTCTTAATAGAAAAATCGTAATAATTAAACTTTATATTAATTTAATTAATATAAACAGCTGGTAATTGTCTCGATTAAAATCCATTATTCTAAAAGATTAAGTGGGACAGGGTGTTAATTTAAATAAAAACCCACGGTCTCCTTAGGTCAATCCATAAGCAAAGTAACGCGTTTGCCTCGTGTCGGTAATGCAACAGACTCCCTATAGGAGGGCGGTGTGGTTCAAGTTGCTTGATTGGATTTCTTTATGATAAAATCGTCTAAATAGAATATAATTTATGATCATCATATAGATGGCGAAATTATTTTGAAGTGTTTAGCGATTGAGACAAAAGTTATTCACTCAAATCGAAATTATCTACAAACCTCCTATAGAGGCTCTCGTTTATAATTTTGGTGACCAAATAAAACGATGCTAAGCTTAATATAGATATCTGTTGTTAGATATATTTTGTTTAGTGGGAGGGTCTCAGCTTGATTAGTGGACACATTGACCTTTCGTATAGAGAGGCATGTTGGATCACAGAGATCAAGTCATCGTTGCATTATTGTAATTAGATGGATCTACACATGCATTCATGCATCATATGCTAAATTGTCATTTCCCTGCTCCATTTTTGATATGCAATAAATTGTTATTTTTTCATCAAAATGTCTCTCAGCACTTTTTTCGTTATTCTAAAACAAATCGGGGATAATTATGTGGATTGGAAACGTAATTTGATGTTTGTGTTTATTGTCGAAAAACTTGATTTTGTGCTCGAAGAAGAATGTCCCGAGGAACCTACCAAGACTACAGATAAGTCCAAGAGGACTGCGTATAATAAGTGGATCGCTGCTAACAAGATGGCTCGCTGTTTCATTTTGGCATCCATGTCAAATGTGTTACAGTAAAAGCTTGAAAGTCAGGAGACCTCTTATGACATACTAGAAAGCCTGAAGGGCATGTTTGGACATCAAAGTAGGAGGGCTCGCTTTGAGGCCATTTGTACATACAGAACATCCGCATGAAACCCGAAACTCCTGTGAAGGATCATATGTTGACTATGATTGCACACTTCAACGTGGAGGAGAATCTGGGTGCAACTATTGATCAGGAAACTCAAGTTGATATGGTGTTGAATTCTTTATCGATATGTTTTCACAGTTTACTGTGAATTATCACTTGCACAAGATGAATATGCTATTAACTGAGTTGATGAATGAGTTGCAAAATGTGGAAAGTGGTCTCAAGGGTAAGGGTGGCCATGCTTATGCGGCAATTGCTAGCTCCTCTGGCTCCAAGCCGAAAGGCGAAATTAGAAAAAAGGGAAAGAGATCTAACAAGAAGCCAGGAAGCAACAAAAAGCCCAAATCGGATGGAACGTCGAAAGGCAAGTGTTTCCACTGTGGTCGCAAAGGACACAGGAAGAAAGACTGCCCTAACGCACTATCTAAAAAGCTGAGTATTGGTGAGTTTTTTATTGCTGAGTCATGTTTGGTGGTTGATACTACAAATTCCTGGGTTGTAGACTCTGGAGCCACTAATTATATATGCATGTTTATGCAGGTGCTTCAGGAGAGCAAAAACTCAGTGAAGGCCAGTTTAAAATTACTGTCGGCACAGGAGCTGTAATTTCAGCAAGAGCAGTAGGAGTAGTTTACTTTTATTTTAATAGTGGTAGGCGTTTAATTTTTAAAGACTGTTATTATGTCCCGCGGATGAAGCGGAATTTGATTTATGTTTCTTGTTTAATAGGAAAATGTTATTCTTTAGACTTTGTGCATGATGCGCTTTATATTTTAAAGAATAAAGCTCCTATTTGTGCTGAATATTTGGTGAATGGTTTTTATATTTTAAATTGTGCCACAAATGAAATAAATGTTACTTCTACAAACCATGAGCGAATGTCTAACCATAATAGTGATACTTATTCATGGCATTTTAGACTTGGACATATTAACCTTAATAGGATACAAAGATTGTCTAGAGATGGTCCACTTAACACACTTAAGGTCGAACCACTGCCAATTTGTAATTCTTGTTTGGAGGGTAAAATGACCAAGAGATCATTCCTAGCAAAAGGACATAGAGCCAAAGAAGTATTAGAACTAATTCATTCTGATGTATGTGGACCTATGAGTACACCTGCGAGAGGGGGTTACGAGTATTTTATCACTTTTACCAATGATTACTCTAGATTCGGATACATCTACCTAATGACTCGAAAGTCAAAAGCTTTTAAAAAATTCAAAGAGCATTGGGCTGAGGTCGAGAAACATTTGGGTAAGAGTATTAAGACACATCGATCAGATCGAGGTGTCGAATATCTCTCGAGAGAATTCGGGGACTACTTGACAGAAAATGGTACTGTTTCTCAACTGAGTGCGCCAGGTACATCCCAATGGAATGGCATCTCAAAAAGGAGAAACAGGACATTATTATACATGGTTAGGTCAATGATGAGTTTCGCAATTCTACCTACCTCATTTTGGGGATATGCACTAGAAACAAGAGCATATGTTCTTAACTTAGTTCCTTCTAAGTCGGTTCCCAAGACTCCCCTAGAATTATGGAATAGGCGCAAGCCTAGGTTACCTCATATTTGAATTTGGAGATGTTCGGCTCATGTTCTGAAAGGGAAGATAGAGAAGTTGGAGTCTAGATCAGAGATATGATTGTTTGTGGGATACCCTAAATGTACCAAGGGATATTATTTTTATATCCCTCTAGATAGGAAAGTCTTTGTTAGCACAAATGCCACTTTCGTAGATGATAAGTATATTAATGAATGTCAGTCCAAAAGTAAGGTCGTGTTGGAAGAAATGAGTGGGAGCAATTCCACCACATTGATTCCTGAAACACAATCTCATGGCAGACAATCCTTAGTGTCAGATATACCTAAACAATGTGTTTTGAGTAGGAGAGATGAGTCATCCAATCCCATGGATCAAGTAAACATTGAAGGTATTGAGGAGGTAATGGAACCATCTAATGGTAATACCAAAATTGATACAAACGTTACAATTCCAAACAATGCCACAGTCTAGGATCCACCACCCCTTAGACAAAGTCAGATGGTTATCAGACCACCTTCTAGGTACTTGTTAGTTGGGGAGTCCAATCAACCAATCTCCACAACACAAGTTGATGACCCGACTCCATATAAGGAGGCCATGAATGATGTGGATGCAGATTTATGGCAACAAGCTATAAATGCTGAAATGGAATCTATGCATTCCAATCAGGTCTAGGAACTTGTAGATGCACCAGAAGGGATAAAACCCATCGGGTGCAAGTAGGTCTATAAGAGAAAGAGAGGAATGGACTGGAAAGTAGAAACTTTCAAAGCAAGGCTAGTGGCTAAATGTTTCACCCAACGAGAAGGCATCGATTACGAGGGGACCTTTTCGCCTGTGGCTATGCTTAAGTCTATCCGAATTCTTTTATCCGTTGCAGGTCATTTTGATTAGAAGGTGTGACAAATGGTTGTCAAGACAAACTTTTTGAATGGCCATCTTGAGGAAAGTATCTATATTGTGCAACCAGACGGATTCATAGAACCTGGTCATGAAGACAAAGTCTACAAGCTTCAGCGGTCTATTTATGGGTTGAAGCAAGCATCAAGATCTTGGAACAAGAGATTCGACGAAGTGATTAAGACATATGGTTTTGATCAAAACTTTGACGATGTTCCAGTGTGTTATACAGATTCAGACTTCAAGGCTGATAAGGACTCTCACAAGTCTATATCAGGATCACTATTTACACTTGGTGGTGGGGCCATTATTTGAAGAAGTATCAAACAATCATGTATTGCTGATTCCACCAAGGAGACTGAGTATGTGGCAGCTTGTGAAGTCGCTAAGGAAGCGGTGTGGCTCAAAAAATTCCTAACAAATATCGAGGTGATACCTGCATCTGCACAGCCCTTAACACTGTACTATGATAACAATAGGGTAGTGGCTAATGTTAAAGAACCAATGAGTCATCAGAGGGGTAAACATATTGAACGAAAATATCATCTCTTGAGAGAGATAGTTAACAGAGGAGATGTGATTGTCAGTAAAATTGCTATTGGGGATAACCTCGCGGATCCATTTACAAAGAGTCTATCAGCTAAGGTTTTTAATGGACATGTACAAGACATGGGGTTACAGGACATGACATATATACTCTAGGGCAAGTGGGAGATTTGTTGGGTTGTGTGCCCATATAGTATAGTTTTACAGATGTAAAAATAAAAATAATAATTTTTATATTGAATAAAATAATGTTTACTTTATTTGTTGCACTTATTTATTATTGAGCATGCGAAATTAAAGTGTCTCTGATCACTTGTGATAATATGAGTTGGGTACTTGTGTTGAGAAGTACAGTGAGATAAAACTTATATTTTGATCATAAATAATTTGTTCACAACCAATATATAAGGTTGGCACCTTATATTGAAAGGTTGTAGTATTGACCAATTCACTATTCATATTTGTGATTTGTCCTTATCACAGAAATAGTTAAAGGTGACACTAGTACACTTGGAGTGTATTGAACGGACCACGTATCGAATTTAATTATATAGCATGACATGCGGAGAATTAAATTTCACCTGATCGCTGTGTATTTCATTTGAAT